TATTTGCAAATCATATATCCAAGAAGGGATTAATGTACAGAATAGAGAACTTCTAAAACTCAATAGCAACTTGATTCTTTTTTTTTTTTTTTTTTTAGACAGAATCTCACTGTGTCACCTGGGCTAGGGTGCCGTGGAGTCAGCCTAGCTCACAGCAACCTCAAACTCCTGGGCTCAGGCGATCCTCTTGCCTCAGCTTCCTGAGTAGCTGGGACTACAGGCATGCGCCACCATGCCCGGCTAATTTTTTTACTATATTTAGTAGAGACGGCGTCTCACTCTTGCTCAGGCTGGTCTCGAACTCCTGAGCTCAAGTGATCCTCCTGCCTTGGCCTTCCAGATTATTAGGATAACAGGCATGAGTCACTGTGCCCGGCCAGCAACTTGATTCAAAAATGGGCAAAGGACTTGAATAGACATTTCTCCAAAGAAGATATACAAATAATCACATAAAAAGATGCTCATCATCACTAATCATTAAGGACATACAAATCTAAATTACAATTAGAACACTGCCTCACACCCATTAGAATGGCTACTATCAAAAAAAAAAAAACCAAAATAACAAATATTGGCAAGGATGTGGAGAAATTGGAATTCTTGGTGGGCATGTAAAATGGTATAGCCACTGTGGAAAACAGTATGATGGTTCCTCCAAAAATTAAACTGAATTACGATATGATCCAGGAATTGCACTCCTGGACATATCTGAAAGAATTGAAAGCAAGGTCTTAAAGGGGCTTGCACACCCAGGTTCGCAGCAGCGTTACTCACAGTAATCAAAACGTGGAAGCGGCCCGAGTGCCCACTGACAGATGGACGGATGAGCCAATTGCGGTCTGTCTGTACAGTGGAGTAGCAGCCTTAAAAAGGAGGGAGTTTCTGACACATGTTGTAACATGGATGAACATTGAAAACATGCTGAATGCAATAAGCCAGTCACAAAAGGACGGATTCCGTATGGTTCCACTTACAAGACATATCTAGAGTACTCAAAATCACAGGGACAGAAAACAAAACGGTGGTTGTAGGGGCTGAGGGTAGAGAATGGGGAGCTAGTGTTTTACAGGTATAGAGTTTCAGTTTGGGAAGACGAAAAGGTTCCGCAGGTGGATGGTGGTGATGGTTGCACAACAGTGGGAATGTGCTTAATGCCCTAAACGCTCCACTTAAAAATGGTTAAGAGGGTAGGTTTTATGTTACATGTATTTACCACAATAAAAAGTTGAAAAAAATGCAGTTAATATTTGAGGAGGAACTATGATATTAAATTTCTCAGTATTATTTCCTCTTTAAAATATTTGAATTAAAATACTAATACATTTTTTAAAGTTTAAAAATCACATTTCAGTGGGTTTTTTCATATCTTAGTGATTTATAGGAGTTCTTAATGCACTCCTTTGCTATATATGTTGCAGATGTTTTCTTTCAGATACCACCTGCTCCCCTTCACCTCGTCAGAGCCATCCTGTTAAAAATAAGTCAGATATTGTTATTAATATTTATGTCTCTGTTCAAAACCCATGTTACTCAGAACAAAAGCCAAAATTTTTGTAATTACTCCCTGCCCCTCCTCTGGTACCTACCTGCCCTCCCATGTCCTACATGTCTCTTCCTGACTCCTGTGGGAGCCACCCAGGCCTCCTGACTCTTCCTTGATCGCAAGTGTCATGCTCTTGTTTAGTGAATTAATGAGTAAATACCAGGCAAACAGTGACCAAAAGAATGCTGATATAACTATTAGTATCAGACAAAGGTTGGCTTTATTGCAAACAGAGTTTTATTAAAGTGCATTAATCAGGGTTCTCCAGAGAAATAGGACCAATAGGATAGGTTTGGATCTATAAGAGGAGATTTATTAGAATTGGCTCACGTGATTATGGAGGTTTAGAAGTCCCACTAAAACCTTCTGCAGGCTGGAGAGCAAGGAAAGCCAGTGGTGTAATTCAGCCTGAGTCTGGAGGCCTGGGAACCGGGGGAGCTGCTAGTGTAACTCCCATCCCAAGGCTGAAGGCCTGAGAGCCTGGGTGGGGCTGTTGGTATAAGTCCTGAAGTCTGAAGGCCCAAGAACCAGGAGCTCCAGTGTTCCAGGGCAGCTCAAGATGATGTCTCAGCTGAGAGAGAGAGAATTCACCTTTCCTCATCCTCTTTGTTCTACT